TGTAAAAATGAATAATCTGGTGGATCTTAAACAACTTGTCAATGGGTGTTTCATTTCCAATGAAAGGAGAAGGGAGTCTATTTATTAGAAAAACCGCACATTCAAAGGCATGATTCTAGTAATTAAATGGTACTGATTCATGGACAAGTAAGGACATGCCTGTTTTGACAATATGCATGTGTTTTCGTTCAGCAGAACTATTCTGCTCATGAGTATGTGGGCAAGATAGACAATGTTCTAACCCACAAGAAGCTAAATATGGAGATAGATGACGATATTCTCCACCCCAATCTGTTTATAAACACTTGATATGTTTTTCAAATAAATTTTCAACCAAAGCCTTAAGTTTTAGAAAAGTGTCATAAACATCTGATTTTTAAAGAAGATGAAATATCCATGTAAATCGACTAAAGCTATCCAAGAGATGAACATAATAATAGTAGCCTTCTATAGATGCAACTGGTGCAGGTCCCCATACATCCGAAAATATTAAACCCAATGGCTTAGTACAAATAGTGGATGAGTGCCAAAAAGGGGGTTTATGACTTTTCCCTTCATAAACATGAAGAGCCTTATTACAGGCTTTGCTGGATGGCCCAGTCGATTTTGCCATTCCGTTATTGCAACTTTTTCTCCAAAGAATGCTGAACCCATACTCTTATTATTCCTCGATCATCTTGCTGCAGTAGGAAAGCCATTGTTTGATGATGACTTGATACCTCACATTCTTAGTGGAGAGTATAATTCATTTCAGATGTCTATGAATACAAAGTTTGATCCAATTACTCTCAATGATCTCTATGGTATCTTGCTAAGCCAAGATATTCAACTCCGACCAACATGGCATGTTGGACATTGGCTCTCCATCGGCCAATCTTGCAACCACACCAAACTACAACTCAAGAAGGGGGTGTCGCAGTCAGTTCCTAAATCGTGGACACGATGGCCATGGTCGTGGTCGTAGTCAAGGCTATGGTCAGCAGCAAAACAATAACTCCCACTTTGGAAATCAACAAGGTAATCGTCCCCGCATAACTTGCCAAGTATGCAATTGTGTGGGCCACTCAGTCCTCCAATGGCGACAATGCTTTAACCATGCATTTCAACCTAATTCGGGTGTAAACCTAAATGCTTTTCACGCAGACCATTCCAGCATCCACACTCAAGAGCTTCCAATGACATTATTGTTGATCTCTCCACTCAAAATATACCGGACCAGAATAGATAAAGATTGGCAATGGTACAATTTTGAGAATAAAAAGTATTGGTTCCTCAAAACTCATTACAAACAATGCTAAATTTACTTTTCACAATATTCTACATATTCCTTCCATTTGCCACAATTTATTGTTAGTTAAGCAGTTTACGAAGGATATGTTGTGTTTGAAATTCACCCTTCTCATTTTGTTGTAAAGGATCAATCAAGGGGAGAGCTCTATTGCCTAGGCCGACTAAGGATAGTTCATACCAACTAGAGGTAGCAAAGAAGAGTTATGCTTTTTGCTTGCTGAAAATAATCAGCAATGTTCAAGGATCCCTTCTTGGTAGTCTACAATTGGAATCGCACTTGCATTATACATGCTCGTGAGTGATTAAAAAACGAGCGTTCTAGTGTAGTCCATACTTTTTGGGAGGTGGTAAGACCCATGTTCTTGGCATGGATACTTTATGTGAGGGTCGAGATAATCCAGCTAAGTAACAGCTGGTCTTGTCGCTTCCAATTGAGAAACGCATGGCTGATCTTGGGCTCCTCATAACTTTCAGCTGGAAGAAATTCAGCAGGGCAATGGAGGGAGCCATCCACATAGTCAAGAAGATCATACCATCGAAGAATGGGTATGAATTGACATTTTCAAAGCAAGTAATTGGTAGTTGTGAGTTTGTGGGGAAGAAAGTGATGGAGGTTATTAATGGGAGGGTTACGTTTATCGTCAACAAGTGTAGGTGCATTGCTAGTAGGTGTGGTCATTGTTGAGTTTAAGGAAAAGGGTAAAAAAAATATATATGGGGAGGATAGGTAGGCACAAAGAAGCTGCTGAATGTTAGAGAGAGAGAGAGTGAAAGAGATTTTACAGAGAGAGGGTTTAGATGGAGTTAGGTAGAATATTAGAGATAATATGATAAGGCTAGAGAGAGAGATGTATTTTAAAAAAATAAAAATAAATGGCTTAACTAGTAATGAAGAGAGGGATTTGTACGCAGAGAGAAGAACTTGGGTTAAGGAATGTCTTCAAGATGGTAGGCTGAGAGGATAGACTCTGTTCTGATACCATAATAGAACAACCCATATATTTTAAAGTCTCTATCTCACTTTCTTGAACTTTCAGATGAGATGACATTGTATATTTATTGCACAAGATATATATACTTTTAGATATACATGGGATGTGTTTTTACAATAATATTTTGAATGGGTTTGACTTTATATTTGTTGCAATAACCATTTAAATGATATTGACCACAATATTGGGATAACCCAAAGATTTGGATAATTATGGGTTATCGCTTTACAAAAGGATAAAGAGTATCTTTTTCATCATCATCATAACCTTTTCACAAATGAGAGTTTCTCTTTCACATAACCTAAAACGATGAGAAAGAGAAAGACAATATTGCACGTAATGCTAAATATGGACTGATTTGGCAATATCAGAATATATCAATGAAACTTAATGACCAAATTAGGTGAATCGACTTGTTAATATCATATTAAGTCAATGAAACTTAATGATCAAATTAGCTTAATCAACTTGTTAATATCAAAATAAGTCAATGCAACTTAATGACCAAATTGGTTGAATCAACTTCTATAGCCCCAAATTCCTAATCTTTGACAAATTCACCCAAACAAATGCAATGCTTTGTCGGTATTCAATGATGTTATAATGGATTTCTTGCTGTTTCCATATTTATATCAATAAAACAAAAACGAGCATATTGACTAAAAAAAAAGAAATTTGCCAGTAGAATGACTTCTTATAAATTAAAAAATTAACTCGTACATCTATCATGTCTATGGTTGTATCCAGTATAAAACCAAATGTTTTGCAATTCAATATACCAAGGGTTCGGTTTCTATAAGGTTACAACCTTAAACAATCCAATTAAAGCGTACCTTCAAAATTTATCATGACATGTAATTTTGGTGTAGAAAACTTTTAGGATCATCTTAAAAGTAATGATCCTATAAGAGCCTCTCACGCCCATGTGTGTAGGACTCCAAAGGATCATCAGTAAATTTGACACAGATCTCTTGAAAAGTTATTACATGAGTGTGAGACTTGACTTTTTTAGAGATTTGTGCCAAATTTAATAGTGATCTTTTAGGGTCCTACACACATGGGTATGGGAGGGTCTCAAAAATCATTTCCCTTATATTAAAATCTAGTTTCATATCAAATCATAAAATTTTAAACTCCAAAATTGTTAAAATCAAATGGATCTATAAACATATGAAAATCTTGAAAATTGACGGTCTAGATAATGTGTTGCAAGATGCATTTTGTCTGGGACTTCAAATCTTTTTTTTTTCTCATATTCATACATCTCGAGGTCGAGATGATCAGTTGGAGGGTTTTTCAATATTAAAACAAAGGAAACTATTATATTATCCCCTATTTTTAATTTATATATCTCGTCAAACCCAAGAATTGAAAATATTACTTGTAAGCAAAAAGACTTCATCTTTTCTATCTTCCAACCCCCTAAACCCTTTTAACCATGTATTATTGACCTCAACAACTTATGAAATGATTCTATCTCTCTTTCTCACACATCGTCGTCTCTCTCTCTCTCAAAACTACATCTCTCTCTAAAACCCAAACTCCATCTCTCTCACATCATCGTCTCTCTCTCTCAAAACTCCATCTCTCTCCCTAAAAGTCAAACTCCATCTCTTTCTCTCTCCAAAACTCCATCTCTCTCTAAAACCCAAACTCTATTTCTCTCTCTAAAACTCTATCTCTCTCTCTAAAACTCTATCTCTCTCTCACACATAAGAAGATGTGCTCGTGTTTGAGCTCAAGCATAAGAAGCTGTGCTCGTGTTTGAGCTCAAGCTAAACCCTTTGGCTAGTAAACTCACTGAGAAGCAAAGAGAGAGACAAAGAGATGAGTTTGAATAGGTTGTCATTTTAGTATTTGTTTGGGTCAAAAATTTATGGTCAAAGGGGTCGAGGGGGTTGTAAGATGGAAAAGATAGAGACTTTTTGCTTACATGTAATATTTTCAATTATTGGGTCTCATGAGATATGACAGTTAAAAATAGGGGATAAGGAGGTATTTTCCCTTAAAACAACTTTTTTCGATGGATTTTTTAAGTGCATCTGTAATTCTACCCCACATCGCGTATAACGGGAGTCGAACTCCCTCTACTACTAGCGGGTAGTTCCTACTTCGATCCATAACCACCGGGTCTAATGAATAGGGAATCGCTCTCCTGCCAGCAACATTTTTAAGGTTGCAACCTTATATAAACTTTTTCTCAAACCTAACACCTAATAATACGTAATCACTAACAAATTATTTTTTTGCAAACAGTATATATCTAGAATTTGTAATATATCTAATATGAATTAAGTATGAATTTGAAGTAGTATTCTAGAATACATATAGTATTAGGTATATTAGAATTTCTAATATATATAATATGAATTTAATATGAAATTAATATGAATTTGAAGTAATTGTTAGGCATATTAGATATATTAGACTGGTTCATTAGTTAGTGATTATGTATTATTAGGTATTAGGTATATTAATAATACATAATCACTAACCAATAAACTATTCTAATATATCTAATATGAATTGAAATAGTACTTTATTTAAAGTTTAAAATATCGGTTGATATCGACTCCTATCTAACCGAGCAGTAAACAGTTAGATTGGTCCGTTTTACAAACATTAATCCTTATATTTCAGAAAAATTAGAAAAATAAAATAAAAATGACAGGTGAGATGGTCCTCGAGTAAGTAGTGCCTGAAGATAAACTTCCTCATAATTTTTATTTTTTGTGGTGGCAACAGGTTTGGCCCCGATCCCAACTTCCCATGAGAGAGAGATTTGTAGAGAGAGAGAGACAGTGATGGCATTTTAGCAGCGATGGGGGGGTGTTTTCCGACGACCCCCTGGGAGAAAGCCAGGACCGCGGGTCTCTTCCTCTTTGGGCTCTCCCTCTTCATGGTCGGGGCCCACCTCTCTTCTGTCAAAATGGGCCCCGAACAAGCCCGCATCAAAGCTCGATCCGACCTCCTCAGAGAACACCTCAAGAAAAAGTACGGAAAATGATCTCCTACTATCGCTCTCTCTCTAACTTCCAGTGTGTTACTGGTCTATTGTAACCTTTCTATTTCATCGCCTCTTCTTCTCCTTGCCTTTGCTGTTTGAACCTTTGTGGCAATTGAGCTTCTTTTCTCTCATCTTCCTCATTATCTTCTCCAATTCTCTCTCTCCCCTAATAACGTTGGTCCCTTCTCCCTTTTCTCTCTCATCCCCTGCTCATCACTTTTTTCTTTGCCCCCCATTTGGGCATTGTTGCAAATTGGTTGTTTAACTTCTCTGTCTCACCTCACTCAATCACTCTCTCTCCTAATCTCTTAGGTCACTGGTCCCTGCTCGCCTCTCTCTCGACTCTTTCCGCCTCCTGATTCAAGCATTGTTGGAAACTGATTGATCAACTATTGCTGCTGCTTTTCTTGTCCCTCCTAATTTTCTGCTCTCTCTCTCTAAATTTGGAATTCTCTCTCACCACACTTAATCTTTCACTCTTTCTCTCTCCTTAAATTTGAGAATGGCGTTGGTGCCTGCTGCTGATCCTGTGGTAGCTGAGGTGGATATGGGTTCTGATACTCAGTCAGTGCGTGCCACTGTCGTCCAAGCTTCCACTGTCTTCTATGACACTCCTGCTACACTTGGTACATATTCCCATTATTCCTTATTCTCTTTCTTTGATTTGTTTGCTATACATTTGTTTATTGTTGCATGAACTTATTTTGGATAGTTGTAGGTTCACTTACTGTGTTCTGATTTTAGTTTTCTAAGCATAATTTATTTATTTATTTATTTTTAAATGGGGGATAATGCTAGCTTGAGCTTGGTTGCGAATGTGATTTTTCATTTGCATATTGCTTTGCACTATCTTGTGTTTCTTCAGTTATCTGTTGTTTTGTTTTTCAACTCTATCCTACTACAGGCCTTCACCATTTCCCTTTTTACTGGTTAGCATATTGATTATTTGTCACATTTGTTGGTTGTTAGGTTTGGAAGGGTAATGGGCACTTCATTTGGGTGTCTTCTCTGTGAAATTTGGAGCATGGTCTTCCATTTTCTGACTCATTTTAATTTTATTTTTTATTTTTTATATTTTTTAATTTTTGTGGGTCTAAATTCGAAAATTTGTGGGCCACACGAATTTGTGATTACGGTTCAAATTTTTTTGATCATTGATTCATATACCCTATGCTATTTACCTTTGCATTTTCTTTGTCTGCTTTATCTTTCTCTGAACTGCCAAATGAAATGATTTGGTTTTCTTTTGGCTTTTGTAGATAAAGCTGAGAGATTGATTGCAGATGCTGCTACTTATGGGGCACAGCTGGTTGTTTTTCCTGAGGCTTTCATTGGTGGCTATCCCCGTGGTTCTAACTTTGGAGTGGCCATTGGCAGCCGATCAGCAAAGGGAAAAGAGGAGTTTCGAAAATATCATGCATCAGCCATTGATGTACCAGGTAAACTCCTTTAGTCCCTTTACATCAATTGTATCTCTATCTCATTGTCAAATCTCTCTTTCTCTTCCTATCTTCAATGGTATCGCATCAGAAATTTCACTTTTAATTGGATAAGTTATATATGTTTTCCATGTTGGTTGACTTGTATATATAACAAATTTCCAAATTTACAACCCATGGCTTAGAACATAACTTGGAATAGAGGCCAATGGACTTTGAAGTTTCTACTTTTTCATTTCTAATGCAACATATGTTGCATGCAGTTGGTATTTTGTTGAAAAATGTGAAGTTGTTGGGTTATAATATGTCCAAGATTTTTGTGTATTTTAATGTTTTAATCATTGTAATGTTAGAAGTTACCCTTGATTAATGACCTTCTTGCTTGTTTACTTTTGGTGGTTTAGTTTTTGGGTTAGAGATGGCCTAAACATCTACCTCTATTTGCTTTAGTTCACTCCCTTCAGTTGAGTTTCGTGAACGATAGATAATCTTCCTTTTGGGTGGGCAAGCTAATACACATACATACACACACACATATATATGTTGTCCAATTCTTTACTCAAGAAAGCTCCAATCCTATTAAACTTCTAGCTGAAATTTCTAAAGAAATAAGCAAAAGGCACAAGAGGAATTCCTTGTAAAAATCTAGAGACATTTTCAAAATGAAATGTATTATCAAGGAAAAGGACTTATTTGGAGAGAAGGGCTTCCAGGGCTAAATCTTTATCAAGGAGAAGACGAGGAATTATTAATGACGGCAAGGTTAATTATTAGCTTTATATCGAAGATTGAAAAAAAGGAATCCCCAATATGCTATCAAGTTTCCTTAAAAAATTACCAAAGCCACTCTTTGTGACCTATTCTATAGATAAAAGAGTATTTCAAAAGCCAAGGCAGAAGGATTTTCCAATATCTATAAAATAATAGAAGAAGATTTTGACAATGACCAGAAAATTTTCCATCAAGAGAGAGTAACAATTATTATACACCCAAGGGATGAGTTAATCTAATCTCAAAAGAATGAGATAATATGCTCGAAAGTTCAGTAGTATATCTTAATACTATTGAAATAGCTCAAGTAAAAGGAAGTCCTGAAACCATAAACTTCCCTATCAAGAAATGAAAGCATGAAGAATAACTTGATGAAGAGATGGTGATGGAGAAGATTTTTATGAAAGCCTAGATGACGTGGGATTGCCCAATCTAGACAATATGATGGAAGATTGAAGGGAAGATATTGTAGGAAAAGAGACGTCGGTGAAACAGAAAAATACTTTACAAAAAGCAATGTCAGTGCAATGTTGTACTAAGCCCACTTTATGCTTTCTTTCTACTCCAAGCAACAATTACACTTGCTTTGCTTCCAAGCTAAGTAACTGGTATCGATAGATTAGGTTTATATAGAGGATGATAGAAATCAATTGAAGGCATTGGAAGTCGGAGTGTGAGTTTAAGAAAGTATTGTAAAATAGTTATGCGTCTGTAAGTCCTAGTCTGAGTTATCCATCTGTAAACAAAAAAGAGAAAAAACGAGCTAACTACCGGTACTAGATAATAAAAAATTAAAATATTGTTCCTTGAGGTTATGTCCACTATGCTTCGCCTGTTGTGGCTCCACCTAAAAACGAACTTTCTCACGCCCGGCTAGCAGTTACCAAAGCCAAAGGATCTAAACAAATGCCTTTCTCACTTCCTTTGTTTCGGCAGAACAAGATCTTTTAATGGCACACTCTTTAGTGTTTTGAGATTTACAGGGAATATGTTTTAATATATAAATAAGAAACTAAAAGTTGGACAATGTGATCTAGCATGATATATATAGGATGTATATAGTTTTAATTTTTACTTTTTCTTATCGACTAGAACACTTACAATGGTCTAAATACAATAAAACTCACTTGAAATAAATTAATAAATAAAGTGGATTGCTCTTGCTACCACTAATTATACCTCCTTTCATTGAATAAACAAAAAGTAACACAATACTGTGGAAATAAGAAGGCACAAGAAAGAAAATACTACAAAGCACAAAGTAAAAGATCCCGGATATTATCTCAACCCGGCTTAGTACGCCCCGCACTGGGTCTCCTCCAATGGCGCATGGGGTCAATGGTCTTTCTTAGATCTACCAAGTATGGGAAAGCTTAAGGCCAAACCCTACCAACAAGAGAGCATGAAACAACATAACCTAAGGATCTACCAAGTACGGGAAAGCTTAAGGCCAAACCCTACCAACAAGAGAGCATGGAACAACATAGGGCGTGCCCCCCTCTTGATAGTTTAGTAGGGGCGTGTCCCCTTTCCTTTATTATTAACTAAGGGAGATGAGAGAGAAAGAGAACTCAAGATGAGAGAGGAGAGAGAGAAACCCTAGGTGGGGTGGGCCCCTACATAGGGAGAGAGTAGAGAGAAAAGAGAGGTGTGTAGAAAATATGGGGAGAGGGGATCCCTATATATAGATTTTTCATGAGCTAGGGTTTTGCTTAGACGTAGCCATCCTTATGTAGATTTAATCTCGACCATTGATCATAGGAGACTTGTGGGGAAAGAGATCTGAGTCATCCAATCCTTAGATCAACCATCATGATTCAAAAGAAGGTGCTAGGACTTTATCCTCCATCTTCCTAAACCGAATCCCATCAAATATTGCAATATAGACAATAATCATACTTTCTTATTTTATGAGTAATCTCTCTTATTCATTCCATCTTTGATTAGTCAAAACTTCAAATCACAAAACTTTCTAAATCACATTAACTTGATTACCAAGTCTAGATGGCTTGAACAAAATTTGGTAACCAAAGTTTCCTTTAGTGGGGCGTGCCACCCTGGGTGGCCTTATGTGGGTCCCACTCAATTCTCCCATGTGTTATAATATGGTGGGCCAATAGCTCTTTGTGGGCCCCCATGAGTTTAGTGATTTATAAATTAATAAAAATGATTTTTAGTTAATTGGAAATAAATTTTACTTTCCTTTGAATATTAAAATGCTAAAAATTGAATATCTTTGGATTTATAAATCCAATTTGTAAAAATAAAATATCTAAACATTCACAAAAATTCAAATAATCAATCTCAAAATCATATATCATCAAAATAATTAAAACTAAATAATTTGATGGGAATCAGATCCGTATAGGTCTAGGAATTATAAAATCGCTGGAGCACTTCACCTTCTACTCTGGACTGTAATCCACACTTGCTTTTTCAGACTGACCCAACCTTTCTCATGACCCACAAACCACTGCAGGAGTTCATGATTGGGCCACCATAGTCAGCCAATAGGTAAGGGGACACAATCCCTGTCTATGGACGACAAGTTCTCACCTACAGATGAACCAAGGTCACCTAGACCTGTTGCAACCACAACTCTATGGTGCATAGGGGTAATCTCTCACACATGTACATGCTTCACCCTGAAAGGTCGTTCGCTTTTCCAATACGGCTATCATATGTACATGCCGTGTGATGGTTCAGTGATGAGGCTTTGGCCCTCGTCTCTAAAGGCCAACCATCATACACAAGGGTCACATAGTCTCTCGGCTCACTCAACCGGGCAACTCTAATCTTATCAAGGGATGATCCATGATGCCGTCATCGGTTTAATTCCATGCTCAGGTAACATGGGTTTTCCAACTGGACTTGCCTAGAACGTCAAGCCAAGTCGGAGTATTGGCAATAGCATTTGCCTAGTATGGTCCATTAAGGACCACACTCCTATAGAGCTCATGTTCTACTATGTAAAATGTTTATATACCAACTCTCATAAGGCCGTTAATGGCCACAAAAACCCAATAGAAAGGCCTTATACAAGGTTTAGGCAAGAAACATATAATAGAAATGCTCACAAGTATTTCATTACTCAAGAAAACTTATTGGTACATAAGTAAGTCACATATAGGCATAACTCATGTTTTCCTGTTTACAGATGGATAACTTAGACTAGGACTTATAGACGCATAACTATTTTACAAAACTTTCTTAGATTCACACTTTGACTTCCAATGCGTTCAATTGATTTCTATCATCCTTTACATAGACCTCATCCACCGACACCAGTTATTTAGCTTGGAAGCAAAGCAAGTTTGATTGTTGCTTGGAGTAGAAGGAAAACATAAAGTGGGCTTCGTACAATATCATCATTGCACCGACATTGCTTTTAGTAAAATATCTTTCTTTTTCCACCGACATCTCTTTTCGTACAATATTTTTCTTTTCAGTCTTCCATCATATTGTCGAGATTGGACAATCCCACATCATCTAGGCTTTCATAAAAATATTCTCCATCATCATCTCTTCCTCCAGTTATTCTTCGTCCTTTCATTTCTTGATTGAGAAGTCTTCTAGTTTCGAGATTTCCTTTCACTTGAGCCATTTTAATAGTATTAAGATATACTACTAAACTTTCGAGCATATTATCCTATTATTTTGGGATTAAATTAACCCATCCCTTAGGTATAATCATTGTCATTCTCTCTTGATGGAAAATTTTCGGTCATTGTCAAAATGCTCTTCTATTTTATAGATATTGAAGAATCTTTCTGCCCTGGCTTTTGAAATACTATTTTCTCTATAGAATAGGCCTCAAGAGTTTGGAAACCGGAGCACTCTTGTTTCTCCATGGTTAATAATGAATACATGATATAACGTTCCTTGATAAATTTCTGGCAATGAGTCATTGCATGTCACAAAGAGTGGCTTTGGTAATTTTTAAGGAAACTTGATAGGATATTGGGGATTCTTTTTTTGCTATCTTCGGTATAGAAGCTAAGAATTAACCTTGTCGTCATTAATAATTCCTCATTTTCTCCTTGATGGAGTTGTAGCATTGGAAGCCCTTCTCTCCAAATTACTCTTTTTCCTTGATAATACATTTCATTTTGAAAATGTCACTAGATTTCTACAAGGAATTCTTCTTGTGCCTTTTTGCTCATTTCTTTAGAAATTTCAGTTGGAAGTTCAATACGATTGGAGTTGTCACCTTTTTCTCTTATCATTCT